GCGTCTCACTATCGAAGGCGCCGTACCGTACGCGGTCGCGGTTTGAGACCATGCCACAAATAACCATTTCTCTTATTTTATTTTTTCAATTTCTTTTTTGTAGGTAGTCATGATAACCCCGACTGTGTTTTCAAGTATAGTAAAGTAAAGTTTACTAGGAGAGAATTATTTATGGTGTTAAAAAATAAACAGTTTTTAAGTTTTCGGCAGTTAAATGTAATGAACACGTATTAGAACTGATACTGGGCAAATTTGGTGAGAATGAACTTTCTAAAAATTTTACAAAACAATTTCAAAATTATTTGTTACGAAGGTTTCCTCGAAATGGCGTGGTAGTAATTATATGTACGAGCGTTTTATCAACAACCACAAGGAATGGCTTGATGAAAACTTTATACTTCCATCTATACAGCCAACACAACCTGCATCACCAACATTTAAATGTTCAGGGCCAAAAAAGCGAGGCCGTCCACAAAAATTGTTTTGAAGAAAGTTCTCAGCTTTTTTTAAGTTGCCACTGGGGAGACACGTGCCACCCTCCCGAAAATTGTTCATTATTATTAAGCTAAGCTCTTAAAATAAGACTGCTAAAAAAAGAAATTTAGTACGCGGAGTCAAGAAGAAGAAGAAAAAAAGAAAGAAAGAGAAAGAAGAAGAAAGAAAAAAGAAGAAGAAGAAAAAAGAAGAAGAAGAAAGAAAAAGAAAGAAGAAAGTCGAAGTAAGAAAAAAGAAGAACAAGAAAGAAGAAAGAACAAGATAGAAGATAGAATAAAAGAGAAAGAGATAGAGAGAGAAAGAAAGAGAGAAAGAAAGAGAGAAAGAAAGAGAGAAAGAGAGAGAGAGAAAGAAAGAAAGACAGAGAGAGAGAAAGAGAGAGAAAGAAAGAAAGAGAGAGAGAGAGGGAAAGAGAGAGAGAGAAAGAGAGAGAGAGAAAGAGAGAGAGAGAGAGAGATAGAGAGAGAAATAGAAAAGAAGAAAGAAAGAAAGAGAGGGAGAGAGGGAGAGAGAGAGAAAACTCTCTCCCTTTCTTTCTCTCTCTCTCTCTCTTTCTTTCTTTCTCTCTTTCTCTCTCTCTCTCTCTCTCTCTTCTTTCTGCTTCTTTCTTTTTTCTTCTTCTTTTTTTTTCTTCTTCTTTCGTCTTTTGACATTTTCATGTCTTAGCTCTGGCACATAAGAGAGTGTGAGAGTGTCACATGTGGGAGACAGGGGGTAGGAGATAGGGGTGAGAATTAGCCGGTACATAACCGAAAAAGCGTTACCACACGGAGATGGGTTGGAGGTGGAAATAGGGGTAGGAGATAAGGGGTGGGGGTGGGATAGGGTTGAGGTTGGGGACAGGAGATAGGGGATGGGAGATAGGGGTGACTAATAGGGACAAGAGATAGTGGGTAGTGAAGAGGGGTAAGATATAGTAGATAAGAGATATGTTGTACGTTCAACGTTCAAATTAGAACTAAATAATAAATTCAAAATAGTTTAATTCTCTATGTTAATTTACTTTTGGCCAGATAATAAACATTACAATTTTAGCCAGAAACTTGATTGTACATATTTTTTTAATCTCCTTGGCCTTATGCTGTAACTGGAAGCTCCGTGTAATTTTTTTTTTTTATTTATAATTCCACAACTAATCTAAATTTATTGGGTACTTTAACTAGACATGAAAATGTTCTATTGTGGTTGCAGACTCGGCTGAAAAACTTTTTTAGAAACAAAAAAGAAAGAAAAAGAAGAAAGAAAGAAGAAGAAAGAAGCAGAAAGAAGAGGGAGAGAGAGAGAGAGAGAGAGAAGAAAAAAAGAGAGAAAGAAAGAGAGAAAGAGAGAGAGAGAAAGAAAGAAAGACAGAGAGAGAGAGAGAGAGAGAGAGAAGAGAGAGAGAGAAAGAAAGAAAGATAGAGAGAGAGAAATATAGAGAGAGAGAGAAAGAAAGAAAGAGAGAGAGAGAGAGAGAAAGCTCCCTCTTTTTCTTTTCTTCTTTGTCTCTCTCTCTTTCTTTCTTCTTTCTTCTTCTTTCGTCTTCATTCTTCTTTCTTCTTCTTTCGTCTTCATTCTTCTTTCTTCTTCTTTCTTCTCATTTCTTCTTCTTTCGTCTTTTTAGAAAGAAAGAAGAAAGAAGAAGAAGAGAGAGAGAGTGAGAGAGAAAGAAAGAAAGAGATAGAGAGAGAGAAAGAAAGCCAGAGAGAGGGAGAGAGAGAGAGAAAAAAAAAACCAAATTTTTACATATAAAATAATGTTACTGTTAAAGAGTAATCAATAGATATCATATAATCGGTTAAACAATAATGGCCTTCGACACGTTTGAGAACTTTTATTTTATAATTATTGACAAATAAGTAGAAACAGAAAAATTATTTTGATATCTCACAACGCGGATTTTCCAATAAAACTACGTTTAATAATTTACCTATAACAAATTAATATTTTCAATAAATTGCCAAAAAATGAACCGTCATTACGCCGCTTTTGACGTGGAGTTTTTATAGTATGCCTAAATGTGAGTTATTTGATGTTGATTTATGTTTAATAATAATAATTATTTTTACAGCATCGTTTAGCCGATATGGTAGTTAGATTTATTGTTACAATGAATGCGAGAATTCGGGAAATAACCTACTATGCAAACGCCTTTTTACGTTATTCGTATGTGTATATGTTTACATATCGATAGTTTTTATATTGAAGACTACAAAAATATTGACAAATTTTCTTGCGTAGGTATAATACACAGTATAGTTTCTAATACACATTTTAAAAACGGTTAACATGGTGTAGGTAAATTTTTTTCAATACATTATCGGTCTATGCACGCACATCTTATGTAAAAAAGATTCGATAAATTTGTCAACTTCGGATGATTTTTTTTGACCATTGAATTTTCAAAATGAAAAAAAACATTAAGAATACACAAAAAAAAAAAAAAAATTAATTTGAACTTCGACAACTTTATATATCTATTGTTTTTTTTCGTTAGAACGTCAGTATAATAATATATAGATTTAGTTGATCAATCAGATAGTGTATCATTATTTAACATTAAATTGATACCGAGATATTCAGTTTCATAAAATGTATTATCTAGTCCTGAAATACTGCTCTGTCTATTAACTGTTTTTCAATAAAACATTACAATAACCGAAAAATAAAAGAAAATATATATAATGTACCATTGTGTATGTCTAGCAAATACTCTTCGATTTACATCTCAGCAGCGAATGTACATCGTGTTTGCAATTAAATACCAAACAAATAAGGTTGATAGAATTTTGTCACTCACAAAAGTTATCACCATTCAATATATACAGGCGTAAAAGCCATGACAAATGTACTTTTTTAAATTTTCATTCGTTATTTTGACTCCAGTGCCAATTGCCGCTCTATTCTACACGTACTTCATTGTATTTCAATTGTCTATTATGCATTTTAAGAGTGCTGTTATTCTCTGCGTGGTGTATTTATTTACACCAGTATGGGTAAGTTATTCGTTCAAATAATTAAAAAAAAAAATCAATAATCGATGAAACAGCGAGTATTTATAAAGAGGGTTATGGGTGGATAAATCCCCCCCCTTTGCCTTTTAGAATAGTTAGTGAAGAGATAGACTTAAATAAATATTATATCGAGAAATACGGAAAACTTAACTACAAAGAACCATAAAAAGAGGTCAAGGGAGAGGATCTATCCTGAAATCCTATAAGATATTGAGTGAACCACATTACACAAAAGCATCCTGTATGCAAACATAAATATGAAAAATATATCACGTTCACTAATCAGTGTTACTCTACGTCATAATCGAACTCAACCAATTCAAACTTTGTTTTCGATGTAATGATATGTTTAAGTTTTTATTATAAGTAAAGGGTACACATTAGGTACAACTAATTGTCCAAGGTAAAATGATACCTACATTAGAAATACTCATCGTAAAATAAATAATTTGAAGTGTTATTTATTTTCATAGAAATTTCATCCAATAACCCTTAAAAAGTGCATAAAATAAAATAATTAATTAATAAATTTTGGTTTTGGTAAACAATTTGTTTTATTAATACTGGCTCATACATTTTTAACGGACCTAGCAAACCATTCAAAGTTTCGTTTCGGTGTGTTGATAGTTTTAAGTTTTGATTATAAGTAAAGGGTACCATTTAGGTAACACTGGTTGTCGAAGGTACAATGATACACTAAATATACTCATCGTAAAATACATTATTTTTCAAGTGTTATTTATTTTCAAAAAAATACCCAACAACCCTTACAAGTGCATAAAATAAAATAATTAGTTATTAAAATATTTTCGTATACGAACTCGGTTCAATACACGAATACACACAATCAGTCCTCGGATTACGTTTATTTTAGGCCTAACCTGAGTATTATAATAGTATCTATTTCAATGTACAAATGACCAGTGTTTCTAGACTCGTAGGAAATCGTACCGTCGGCACTCCTGACCTAGAGCTAAGTATGAAAACTTAGTTGCGCCAGTGGCTGTTTCGTACGTTCTTTATAGAGTTGGAGACCAATATTTTACTACAAGGAAACCTATTATAAATTAACTCAGTGACTGTTATTTTGTATCACACCTTTTGTAATATTTAAATTAAAGGGGAAAAAAGGTATCTCTTTTTAAAAGTAAAATAATAGTAACTTCAAAAAGATTTGCATACAACAAAATATAATTTGCATTCAAACAAAGTAAGTTAAAGTACACAAAACGATATTAAACGCGAAGTATACACCCCTCGTATAAGCGATCATGTACGAGAGAGTGACTATTCCCCGGGCTAAGCCCAAGAGAGTGCCTCTTGACATAACAATTTGTGCGGCTTTAAATAATAGATATAAATATCATTTTCACCGTTTGCCATTCGGCCTAGATATTATATTGCTTAGTTTCATAATAATAATACTATTTTTCCTCGCTCTTACTACAATATGTATTTCTAACATTTAAAACAGGTTAATATCTTCTTAACTGTCGAAAATCTGTGGTTAATATGCATAGGAGTGGTGCAACGCCTAAAGATTTGACGGATCCAATCTGGTTCGACCTTCTGAAAAAAGGCTCAGGACTTATGAAAACAGAATTTGGAGGACGATATGTGGACCAACTTATGATAGCGAAAATGCAACTTGGAGAAGACAATTTAACAAAGAACTGCAAGACGAATTGTGTATTGCGTCATCGATGCGAAGAAGTGAGGATGATATATGTAGAGCAGTCTTTAACTGGAAACCAATAGGAAAAACACCTTGAGGGGGGCCAGGAAAATATGGCTGGTTATTGTGGACGAAGACCTTGGTACAAGAATGGAGCGAATTAGTACAGGATCGAGAGAAATGGAGGGAGATTGTGATGGTGGCCAAAACTCTTAGAGAGTATCAAATGCCAGAGGAAGGAGAAAATTATTTTATGTAAATCGAATTAAAGCTCGTGGAACCGGAATAATAACATTTGCCCTTGTTTTCCTTTCGGCCTGGAAATAATAGCAAAGTTTCCTGTTTTCCGTTCGGGCAAATGAAATGAGAAAAACAAAAAAAACCAAACTCTTGTACAATATCATGTGACATAGTATTGTTAAGTAAAATTGTGAAATTAACAACAAAACACGTTATAACTTTAAGAACATTCAATATAAACTATATCTACATAAATTTCAACGCAGCGATACATATTTTTTACAGTTTGTTTACCAATAACAAACAAACAAATATTGTACCACGTTAAATTTGTTTGACTTCGGTACGGACTTTCCTATTAAAAATGTTTTTTTTATTAATTAACAGATGTTCGCGTTTTATTATTACAATATGGTGTGAATATAAAAAATAATTATTTTACAAATATAATATTTGTTATATCGTTTCAAAAACCATGTTATCAGCTATTTTAATCTTTTTTTCCCCTGGAATGTTTTTAAGCACATTTTATATACAGTTTAAAACCAAAATATATTGAGTTAATATTAAAAAAAAGCCTGATAAAGTATCAATAAAGATACTATGATTTATACACCGCATTTATTGCTTGTATCCAAAAAGATATTACAATGCCCTCATAGTAAAAATCTTAAAATTTCATAAAAATTAGATACATTCTAATTTTTTTTTCTTTAACTTGTTCTAATAAGTGTGTATTATTTTATTACGGTCAATAGAATGCCCTTTTTTTTTAAATGCAAGTGCATTTTTAACTTTTTTCTTTTTATGCAATTTCAAACGTTAAAAAAACATTTCTTTACAATAGTATAAAATTATCAAACTAAATATTTGGTAACTTTATACTATTTTAAATAAAAGTTTTTTTTTTAAAAGTAAAACTATAATATTGAAATAATTTCCCCAGCAAATGAGTGTCTCACTAATGAGTGTTAAACTATAAGTCATTATATTTTATTTTAGAGCACTGGGCTAAATAGTGGTCAAATAGAAAAATGTATTGAAGTATACAAAAATAGGGAGGATATCCCAAACTTTATGAAGCAAGATTTCGGTATTAAAAATCTGGAAGAATTTTTTCAATACAAGCCAAGTAATATATTATTTAAATAGCTATTTTAGTAATTACATCTATAGACAATAATTAATGTTGCGTTATTGCTTTAATAGGTTTATAATTGGTTAGTTATATACTATTAACTCCGACTATAGCCGACCAAGTTCTTGCTACTAACACTATAATAAATTGTCATGTGAACTTTTTTGTATAATTGTAACTATCATTTGTGTTGAAGTATGATATTAAGTTATACATGTTAAGTATACATAATTTAATTTAATGTAATATATAAATCATAAAATTGTCAAGCTTTGTTGAAAACTATTATATTTGTTAATAAACACTAATTGCATATTATTTTATTTATATAGACGAAACTTATTATATAAATGCTATGCGGTCACTTATGGCGTTAGCGCATGCAGGAACAATTGACAACTTCGAGGTATTTGTTCATAAAAAATCTAATTTAACTTTAAACCATAACAACTATTATGAAATATTATAATATTGAAATTATATTATTGCTAGTATGTTTAATATTGTACTTAGGAGCCAACGCTGATGGCGATTGAAGTAGAGTTTTACGTTAAAAAGTTCTTTAAACGCACCGAAGACACCGGACAACATGGATATCTTAATCGTGAACAACTATTAAGTTTATTTGAAGATTTAAATATTCAAGGAGACGAAATGTTAAAAGCTTAACAATTAATCACTTTATCAAAAAATGGTGATGTTAAATTTAGGTCAACGTAGCGGTTTACATCAAATTAACAATCTTAATTTATTTAATATTAGGTGGAGTTACAGTTACTCCAGAGGAATTCTTGTTTATCATGTTAAAAATTTTACCGGAAGTAAGCAATTATTTGTGCAACGTAAAACAGTATCCCTAGGGACATTAAATGGAAACCATATATTGAAGAACGAACGAAAACCATTATATAATAAATTGGAATACCTAGTTAGGACTTTTAAAATCAGGATTTTCAAATAAAAATGAATAAAAAAAAAAAAGACAGTAGTTTGTAGTTGTTGAAAATTGACCATATATATTGTTCTGGGTGAAAAATTAAATTTGAAAATGTTGTTCTAACAGTTAAAGAATCATTAAAAAATAGAAATTCATAAATCGCTAAATATTATACAAACGCTTAAAATATAAAATGCGTTGATTACAGCTTACTTATATTCATCGTGTTTGCTTACATTTTAGGGCAATGGTCTAAGCCAATATCAAATAAATAAGTTCATTAAATTGTATACATTACCTAAAACTAGAACCGGTAGCATTGGTCCTGAGCATACTCGAAATTTCTTCAATTTGTTTAATATGTGTACCAGGCCGCAAGAAGAGTTATTTAAATCTTGCCGTAAGAATAAAATATAAATATATTCACGTTCGATATGCTCTTAATTCTTATACAATAATATATAATTGAAACTTGCACAGGACCCGCTGCTATAGAGTTGATGGAGTTGATGATCATTGCGGCAGAGCGTTCTAAGATAGTTCACAAAAATGACGTAATGTAATTTATTTTTAACACGAATAAAATATTTGGCTGGGGTGGAAATTTTGTTACGATTTCGCGTCATCGACATAGTCAGAGGTTTATTAATTAAACAATAAATGTTTGATTCATTGTAAAAGATCTCCTTGTAATTGAATTTGGAAATAACGAGCTTAGTGTAATTTAACGTGTATTCATTCAGTGAGTTTTTTTTTTGCATTTGTTAGAGATGCTCCTCTTTAAAAATGAATGATATAAATATATTTCTAGAATAATATAATAACACAAAGCTAAACTTGCCCAGACACACCAAACTAAAATGTACATTTTTTAAGCCATGCTTCTTATGGGACGCTTGTGCGCTGGGGGTCAACGAAGAAAAACCATAACTTGGGCATATGTATGTATGTTTGTCTTTTACGCATTACTACACCATTCATCCGATCACCGTGAAACTTTGGGAAGTTGTTGAGACACTCCCGTGAAGGTTTCTGGCATGGTACTTTTTGAAGATTCCACCCCTAAAGATAGCATTAAACACAAATTTTGTACTTTAAACACAAATACGAATACCATGGTAACCGCGATAACCATAGTAACCGTATGATTCACATATTCTAAAATCTAAATTCTAAGCACAGCTTTTGACGGGGGTCCTGTGATCCTTACAGCTTATTTAGAAAGAAATATAGAATAAAATAACTAGAGTTTTTTAGATTTAAAATTATTTTTCGTTACGCCATCTACAATTTTACTTTTTCTATTCAGGAGGTTGTGTTAAGTACACAAAAGTCAGAGAATTGATATCTGGTTTCAAAAATCGTGACATGGACAATAGCGGTCTGCTCTCTGATAACGAAGCGAAAACGTTCCTGAAAGAATTACTCAAAGAAGATTCAAAAACGATTCGTTATAAAGATTGTTTCTTCAAAGTGCCAGCAGCATTAAACAAATTTAAAAAAAAAATAAACGTTGCGGAGTTCTTGATAGCGTACTTAATAAATCAAACAAATGATTAATAATAATCATAAAAATGGTATTTGAAATATTGAAATCTTTGAACTCATTTATTAATTATAACTACTAAAATATTGCGTTTTAATGCGTCTAACTACAAAAATAAAATTGTATGTTTTTTTTTTTTTTTGTCAAAGAATATGTAATAATAAGTATTAATATGCTGATTAAACTATTTAGTACCTAAATGTAATTGTTTCTAATTAATTAAATAATCTATTTTAGTTTTTATAACTCCATTTTTCCACAGTCATTTCAGTGTCTCTCATTATTTCAACACACTTTTATTGTATCGGGTTATTTCTGTTATCCCCTTTTAGACAATACGGAATTAAATCTAAAGTGTATGGGCTACTGTGTTTTGAGACAACTGAAAAATTACGAAAAAAGTTTTAGATAATGAACAAATTGATTAATCTGAAAAAATATGTATATGTTAGGTCATCTATGTATTCGAATCTTGTATAATACTATGTCTGATCGCAGAATATTGTCAGCTTATGATTTATTACTAGTATAACCTTAGATTTTCTAAACTGTTGCGTTGTTATTATATTTATTTGACGTCAGACGTCAGATTGGCAAATGCACAATTTACCCAAAAAGTAGGTTGACCTAAAAATGTTGATAACCTAATTAGTAGGAATGATTTGCATAATATAGTTTGGTCGAATAGTACTAAAATAGTGTTAAAAAGGTTATCAAATGTTGAAATACATTTATTAAATTTACTATGCAGGTTAGTAGAGTGCTCAAAAACAGAAATAACGAATTTTTATCCGGTTTAAAATATTTTTATAGGACAAATATCATTTCATTACGATTTACATTTTCGAGAGTTTCAAAAAATGAACAAATCTGATCTTTTGAATAAAAATACCGGATCTCAAATTATATATTACATTTTGTTTTCTTACATTCGTTATAAGACTTTTTTTTTTCAATGCGAGATTTTTTTTGTCACACGTTTAAAATAATATAACTAAGCGTAGTCCCAGATGTCATAAAAAATTGTCATAGGAACACATAGTCATTTTCTGTATATTTTACACGGGGTTTATGAAAAGTTAAATACATTTTCTTTTACGAATAATCCAACGATATAGCAGTTGAAAAAAAAAACATAGCAACACATCTGTTAATACAAATCCTAAAAAAATATATCTGATTCGAAAATAATGTCAACTTACGACGTATTACTAGTAAAACCTTAGATTTTTTCTAAACTATTATAACAAGTACTTACACAAACACAATAAAAAAACATACTCGGACGAAATAATGTTATAAGGGATAATGTTTATTTAAAGGCAATAATATAAAAAAAATGTAACAGATACATTATACATTGTGTATTTAACGACGGATTGGCAAATGGACAATCACCTAATAATGAGTAAAAACGTTACCTTTGTACGCAATTGCAAAAAGTGTTTTTCAATAGAAAATACACAGGTGTCACAGGAGGCCTCTGAATGTTGCCAAGGGGGATTTTGTTTCGTTGCTTTAAACACGGTCTATGTATTAACTCCGGTAGCTTAAATACTCGGCGTAAATTTAAAATGAACTTACAAAAAAAAAACAAATACCCTCTTTCCTTCGAAGAAAACACATTGGAACATAAATATGCCTTGTGGTCTTAGCCTTCCTAAAACTAAACTATCAGGAGACGATCGTCCAAATTATTTGTTTATATTTTATTAGTATAGGTTTTTATTTTCCCAAAAATGTTTTCTAAAAATATTACTAAAGCCATTTTGTAGAGACTCTTATTTTCATAAAAGAGGAGACTAGTTGTTGAACGTACCGTTGTATACTAGAACTTGGTTAACGGTACTCCAAGACACTCCTGGAAGGTTGAAGTCCCCACAAAATATACCAAGTTCACAGTTTGCTAATTCCCAGGCAATGTTGAAGGAATTTACGTAACTATCATATAATGATTTCTTGGAAGAGGGGGGAATATATGAATGGAAACCCGAATAAATAGTTGTTCAACATTTAAAACACCAGTGGAAACAAGCATTGGATTAAGAGATTCCTTAACGGCGATTAGAACACACGGGAGCGAATACAAGTGTTCAGATTTCTGTCACATCTAAATATTATGTAACCGGTAAAATTTAATTCGGCATTGTTTGTATGTTTATTGATTATTGAATGTCTTTTTAAGGGAATCATTCGGTAAGATGCGCCCTTATAATGTTTCAACGGGTCTTGTAGTGTTAGCCATAGAAAGCGACCACATGTTGTTGGGATTTAGTTCACTGCATTTATTTCTTATAATATGTTTCTCGTACATAATATAAAAAACAATATATTAAAACGTAAAATATAAAATAATTTCCGCAATCGTACATTGTGGTAATGTACTCTTTGTGTCAATATAAGAAAATATGTTTGCAACTGATTGTTTACAACAACAGAAGTAATAACTCCTCGTCAAAGTAATGTAAATAAGGAAGTATATCGAAAAACGCAATCCCGTTTAAGTTAAAGATATTTTCATAGGCAACTTTGTATATTACGTTTAGTTTGTTTCGTTCAACATAATATCAAGCGCTGTAAGTACGCCTTTAATATATTTTTTGTTAGAATTATTTAATTTTTGTATTTTTATGTGTAGACTAGCGTTAACGTTTAATTGATATGCCAAAATCATTAATGTACTGGTAGATATTATATCAGAAATGATATAGACAACTTTGCACAAGACGTTTAGATTTTACAGTTTTTGTCGACTGGTTCTATTAAGAAGTGTATCTACAAGTGTTAAAAAAAAATTTTAAATAGTTCGACAGGATAAGATATGAGAGATAAAAGATAATAGAGGTATACATTTATTAATATATTTTTATTATCAAATATTTATAAAACTGTTACTATCGGCTTGGCAACAACAAAAATCTTACCTGACAATCGAATGAACCCAAGTTGTATCTGCACTTCGTAGAGGTTAACTGCTAGCTTAACAAATACATCCCGTTTCAATAAGTTTATTTCAAGAGTCCAATTCATCACTGTGACCGTGGTTTTAAGCAAATAGCATGTCTAAAATAGCGGTGAAATAAAAATAATAATTTTCTCAAAATATCAAACACAACACTAATATATGTAAGAAAGCAAACTATATAAACAATCCGCTTTTATAGCGAATATTTACTAAGGTAACAA